AAAGTAGGCGCATCACAACAGAAATTGACGATCTTGACAGGTTGGAAAGAAAGTGTGGTTTATGCCGTCAGGTCGGACACAATCGCAAAAACTGTCCGAATCGGGCGTCTAGCTCGACCACATAAATATTGTAATACAATAAATCTTTTCAATATTTGTGTTGTAAACATTAGGGTTTTCCGTTAATAAAACTGTTAACACAATTTAGGAAATTCAATCTAGGAAATTACATTAGGGTTTTCGCGTACAACAATGATTAACGATATTCAATCTAGGAAATTATAACTGTTAACACAATTTCATCTGACCCATGCATCATCAGCATTACATCACTGTCTGTTTTGACTTCCTCCAACCACACATTAGGTCTTCCTGTCGCATGCGAGGTTGTTGTTCGTTTTCGCTGGATCCTTCGAATTTTTTCCCCCTCCGCGATGTCTCCATCTAGCCACCGCATCAACTCCCGCTTCAGACGCTCCATGGAGTGAATGTGCCAGAATTTCATTTTCATCGCAGGTTTCGTGGCGGAGAATATAACGTAACCATCTCTGCTAAAAATCATAGGCGACGTCATTACGCAAATAACGGAGTACAAAATAAAAATACAGTGCGAGAAAGTGTGAGAAATTTCGAAGAAATGGACGAATTATTTATAAAACAGCATTTTGCCCTAGTTTTGCCCTAGGCGCCAAGTGAGATGGCGCCTCCTCTCATTTTTAAGGAGCATGCGCCATCTCACTTGGCTAAAAGCCAAGGGAGGCGCCAAGTGAGATGGCGCCTAGGGCAAAACCCTAGGTGCATGCGCCAATTGAGATGGCTCCTCCTTTGTGGAGCCATCTGAAACATGGTTATTTACGTAATTTTTTCCGAAACCCGGTTATTTGCGAAATATTTTTTTAATACATGGTTATTAATAAAAAAAATTCTAAAAGGATAGATAAACTGTGGAGTTCTATTTTTACGTGATTCTAAAAGTAAGGAAGCTACAATTACTTTCTATTGAGATGTTGATTGACAGGGAGATAAGGAAGACTGGAGAAGCACAATTGGTCATTTCTTTCAAGTATTTTATGTCTCAATCTCATGGTGCTCTAGAAAGTAACTTGTGGTGGCATTGCCATCGTGTGAGGCTGAATATATAGCAAGATCCTATGTTACGAGTCAAACAATTTAGACCAGATATGTGCTGGAAGAGTTCGAGGTCGAAGTGAAGAAACCTCTGGTGCCGCAGATCAAAAACAAGTCAGCCATAAATCTTGCAAAGAATCCAGTTCTTCATGGAAGAAGTAAGCACATCGAAGCTAGATTTCACTTCTTGAGGGATAAGGTAAATCAAGGTGAACTTGAAGTAAGTCATTACTGAAATGAAACACAGTTGACCGACATTTTCACCAAAGGATTGGAGATCAACAGATTCCTGAACTTGATAAAGAAATTAAGAATATTTCAGATCAATTATGATTAGCGTATGTTCGACAACTTAGATTATAAGGGGGTATGTTGTGATATAATTCAAGTTAACTAATCCAAGCTCAAGCCCAAGTTAATTAGGGCTTGTTTGTTACTTAGTATACAAGTTAGTTGTATATAAATAAATATATCGTAAATTAGTTTTTATTATTCAATAATATAAATCCTTATTTCGTTATTCTCTCTTCCTCTCCTCAGTAAAATTATCTCACGCAGTAACAAAAACATCTCTAGAAATTGTATAACCTTAATGGGTGACAAAACATTCTCTCAAAAATTATTTGACATTATTGTATAATATTATAATATAAAAATATACTCAATAATTCACGCACAATCAACATGATGCACGAAACCTTATTAGGTGGCAAAACATTGCAATATGCCTAAGATTAAATTTGAACTCAGGATCTCTGGTTAAGTTGGAGTATATTTCTTATCATCTCATCTAAGGTCTGTTTGGTTCAAATGAGGAGGAGATGATGTGTTGCATTTTAATGGAGGGAATAGAAGGAGAGGGGAGGGATTTTTTTTTAAATTATACATACGTTTGGTTCAAAAGAGGGGAGGGGAGGGGAGTGATTTTGATTAAAAAATGTTTGGTTCAGTAGGGGAGTGGAGGGATTTTATTAATAATTTATATTTTTATCCTTATGATTTTATATAAGTGATATGATATTAAAAGGTAAAAATTTCATAAATATTTTTTTGGAAATAGTATTTGTAATATTGAGTGACTAAAAAGTCATAACTTATCACATAACGTTAAAAGAATTGAGTACATTTAATTCATATGACACAAAATAAACTATGTGATGATAACAACTTTTAAATACATAAAATAAATAAATAAATATATATATATATATATATATATATATATATATATATATATATATATATATATATATATATATATATATATATATATATATATATATATATATATATATATATATATATATATATATATATATATATATATATATATATATATATATATAATTAAAATAACAACAACAACTCACTAAGCGGAATCAACTAAATGGATTAATATTCATCATAATGTTCTATCTACGACCATGTTTCTACCCAAATCGTTAATCTTAGTTTTTTTTAATAACTTCTTTTATAGTCTTTCTAGGTCTTCATCTTCCTCTAGTTTTTTTTACTTCTCCCTATTTGTTAAACACTCATTTCCATAAAATTTCCAGGTCTTCTTTCTACATGTACAAACCACCTAAGTCTATTTTGCACCATCTCATCTACTCTAGGTGTTATCCCAAACTATTTTCTAATATTTTCATTTCTAATCATATCTTGTCTAATCTTAACACACATCCAATACAACATCCTCATATGTGTTACGTTTACTTTATTCTCTTGTTGACTCTTAATTTCCCAATATTCTATCTCGTACAACATTTAAGATCTTATTGTTGTCCGATAAAATTCTCTCTTTAGCTTGAGCGGTACCTTTGCATCGCATAAAATTCTTGAATCCCTCATCCATTTCATCCACCCAACTTGAATTTGAGGGTTTACTTCCCCTTCTATTTCTTCATCATTTTGTATTTTAGATCCAAGATATTTAAACCATGTGACTTGATGGATGATATGTCTCCAATTTACATCTATATGTTGGAAACTTTTCTTTGTTTATTGAACTTACGTTCCATATACTCTGTCTTATTTCTACTTAGTGAAAACCATGTGTTTCTAAAGTATGTCTCTAAGTCTACAACCTCTCATTTAAATCCTCCTTCAACTCTCTAAGTAGGAATATCATTTGCAAAAAATATGTATTTCAATACTAGCTCTTGGATGTGTTACATGAGTACATCCAAAACTAAGGTAAAATGGTAGAGACTTAGGATTGAACCTTGTTGAAAAATTATTATAATGGAGAAATTGTCTGTCTCTCCATGTTGTGTCTACACAGTGATTGATACCCCTTTCATACATATATTGGATAACTTGAATATATGCAATATTCATAACCCCTTTCTTTTCCATTTTTTCTCTCCATAAAATCTCTTTAGACACTCTATCATATGCCTTCTCCAAGTCAATAAAAATTAAGTGCAAGTCTAGTTGGTTCATCTGATATTGCTCCATCACACGTCGTAGTAGATAAACCGCTTTCATTGATCTTCAAGGCATAAAACCAAATTGAGTCTCGGTGATTTGAGTTTCTTTTCTTAGTCTTTGTTCAACCACTCTTTCCCATAACTTCATGGTAACGACTCATAAGTTCAACCACTTTAGTTTTAATTCTCCTTATAGATTGAAACTAAAGTGTTTATTTTTCATTCATCCTACATTTGCTCTGACCTTATAATTTTATTAAAGAGTTCAGCGAGCCACTCAATACATCTATCTCTAAATTTTTCCATACTTCAATAGGTATGTCGTCTGACTCATTTGTCTTATTGTTAATCATCCTTTTCAACACTTCTTTTATCTCTTGCTTATGAATTTAATGGTAGTAATTATAGTTTCAATCCTCTTCTCTAATGTCGAGTCTGATAGAGTCTGATGAAATATCATATCCTTCATTAAACAAATTGTAGAAACATGTTTTCCACATATCCTTTATATTTATTATTTGAACCAAGACTTTTCCTTATTTATCTTTAACACACTTCACTTGATTCAAATATATTGTCTTTCTTTCTCTTTGCTTCATGGTTTCTAAAGATTGGTATAATCCATCACCGTCTTCTTGGTGTTATTATTAGTCTTCTTATATTTTTCCCAAGTTTCGACATTTTTACACATAGATCATTCTTTAAAATAACCTTTTTTTACTCTAATTTTACTCTGAACACTTTCATTCCACCACCACGATTCCTTACCCCTCCCCTAGTTCCAAAACCTTTTGATTCTCCCAATATGTTTTTAACCACTTTTCTAATCTTTTGTGACATCTTATTTCACATATTATTTACACTTCTTTGTGGTTGAACAAACTCTCTCTCCAAGATATTGTGTTAGAAGCTTATTTATTTTTCACCCTTTAAACACCGCCACTTGATCTCTGGTACTCCTATGTGACTTATTCAATTTGCTCCCCTTGATTCTTACATCTCATGTGGGGTAGTCAAGTTCTCTTAAAGAATAAACAATTCTTCCAATCTAACTTCATAATAAAAAAGAAATTAATGTCTTGTTCCATTATCAATTTCAAGACTATAATTCTTTTACTCTTTGTCTACCATAATCTCCACTCTATTTTTCAATCTAACTTTTTCAATGTACCAAAGCTTTTTTATTTTTCCATTTAAGTCTAATTTAATAGTATATAAATATAATAATCTAATAAATGTGATAAAAATAATATATTATATAGTATTAAACCATTTTCCTAATTTTAATATAGAAATTAGTGGTTTGGTCTTTGGGGTAAGCAAGCAGGATGAAGAAAGTTATGATTCTAGAAATAAAGAAATGGGAACACAACTCACAAAACAATGATGATCTGATCTAAACCCAAATAGACCAACACAGTGATGTAACATCTCACTCCCATGGAACTTGTTCTATTCTTCTTCTTCTCGGTAATTACTCCCCATTTCAATTTCATTTCTAGGGTTTACGCTCTCCCCTTACATTTCCATTTCGTTTCCAGGTTCTGTTTTTTCTTCATGTTGCAGATTCCACAACCATGTAAGTAACTATTCAATTCTCTTTGCTTTTCTAATAATTCATATATAACATGTTACTAACTTTATCTATTTCTCTATACAGTGGATCTTGTGACCAATGTTATCGCACCAAGGTGCGTTTCATCTTACTTAATTACTTTTTACTTCAACTCTTAAACTAATTTGTATTGTCTTGTTTTTGTAAGTAGGAATTTGATGTTACTGCATCTAGAAACCGAAATTATCGCGATGAGAAGGTATTATTTCATGTTATTTGTTTAATTATTTATGATAATGATCGTGTTGTTGTTTAATAGTAATGATTTTGTGTAGGATATTGATATAATTGCAACCTATAGCGATGCTTTCGGTCATATTCGGCTGGCTAGGTTGAAAATGAGGGACTTATCGGATTCTTGGGTTTGGGAAAACCCGAGTAATGCTAACAATGAACAGCAAAATTACTCCCAGGTACTTTGTCTTTGCTGAAAATATGAGTTACTGTGATGTGTTTAACTTTGGATTTCGATTTCTTGCTTCACGTGTATGAAGTTTTGGCTTCGACTTCGAATTGAGTTGGATTTTGTATTTTATTGTTGTTAATGTTGATGACCCTTGAATATATGGTAATAATTACAATCTGATATGATTACAGGGAGGAATGGAGTCATTGCCAAGTGATTCAAAATTTGAAGACAATCTCAAGCACTCAGCAGATGAACATGATGCTGAAGAAGGCTTTGCTCGATTTCCACATTCCTTACCGATGACTCCAGTGAAGATCAAGCGTCGGGTAATAATCCAACTTTGTCATTTGGAATGAATGATAGGGGAATGAGAAAGACTTTTGTTTGTTCCATTTTTTTTGCTGTTGGTTTGGGCTTTTTTCTAAATAGTTTCCTATCCCTTAGATGATGCGTCTGGAAAGAAGAAAAGCCCGTGCTGCTGAACTTATTAAGCAAAACAAAGAAACGGACAATCGCATTGTATCAGCAGCAATTGAACGCTCCAAAGGATTTGATACTACTATCACTGGAAAGTATAGTATATGGAGGAAGGAATATGAAAACCCGAATTCTGATTCCACTCTTAAACTCATGCGAGACCAAATAATAATGGCCAAAGCTTATTCCAATATTGCAAAGTCTAAGAACAAAACTGTTCTTTACGAAGCTCTTGTCAAACACTCCCGAGATAGTAAACTAGCTATTGGAGAAGCAAATTCTGACGCCGAGCTTCAGACTGGGTATTTTGTTATAGATTTTGTCTTGTTTCTTAGACTAGTTAGCTTGTTTCAATTTATATATAATAAAGTTTTTACCTATTGCCTTTGCTAGAGCACTTGATTGGGCAAAAGCTATGGGTCACGTTCTTTCTGTAGCAAAGGACCGGCTATATGACTGCATTTTAGTGGCAAGGAAGTTAAGGGCGATGCTTCAATCAACCGAAAATAGAGTGAATATGCAGAAGAAAAGAAGTGCATCCTTGATTCAACTAGCTGCAAAAACAGTGCCTAGACCATTGCATTGTCTTCCCCTGCAACTCGCAGCTGATTATTACCTACAGGGATATCATAAGAAAGGAAACCTTGGCATGGAAAAGATTGAAGACCCATCTCTTTACCACTATGCTATCTTTTCTGATAATGTACTGGCTGCATCTGTGGTTGTTAATTCTACTGTGCAAAATGCAAACGACCCTGAGAAGCATGTATTCCATGTAGTAACTGACAAATTAAATTTTCCGTCAATGAGAATGTGGTTTCTCATCAACCCTCCTTCTAAAGCAACCATTGAAGTTCAGAATATTGATGATTTCAAGTGGCTGAATTCCTCGTATTGTTCTGTTTTACGTCAACTTGAATCAGCAAGAATCAAGGAGTATTACTTTAAAGCCAATCATCCTTCCTCTCTCTCTGCTGGTTCTGACAATCTAAAGTATAGAAATCCCAAATATTTGTCAATGCTGAATCACTTAAGGTTCTATCTTCCTGAAGTTTATCCAAAATTGGACAAAATTCTATTCTTGGATGATGACATTGTCGTGCAGAAAGATTTGACACCTCTTTGGTCAATTGATTTGAAAGGTATGGTGATCGGTGCAGTAGAGACATGCAAGGAGAGCTTCCATAGGTTTGATAAATACCTAAATTTTAGCAATCCACTGATCTCCAATAATTTCAGTCCCGATGCATGTGGTTGGGCATTTGGCATGAATGTCTTTGACTTGAAGGAGTGGAAGAAGCGAAACATTACCGGAATCTATCATCGGTGGCAAGATTTGGTAAAATTCACAAATCTTATTCCTCCCGTTAGATTTGTCAAAGTACACCTGATTATTTTCCTTATTTTAAACCATTGTGTTTTCTGAATATCATGTAATGAATTGTTTGCCTGAAGATTCCTATGTGTATATCATGCCCTTAATTTTCAGGCATCAAAGTCAATAACCATAAAGCCATGTCTAACTATTTTTTGCTTGTAGATAGTAATTTCTTCTTATCAGAACTATATTAATTGTTTTTCTTCTCTGCAGAATGAGGACAGAACCCTCTGGAAGCTCGGAACCTTACCCCCAGGCTTAATCACCTTTTATAAACTGAACTATCCACTAGATCGGGGTTGGCATGTTTTGGGACTTGGCTATGATCCAGCTCTGAACTTAACGGAGATAGAGAATGCCGCTGTCGTTCACTATAACGGAAACTACAAGCCATGGTTAAATCTTGCTGTTTCCAAGTATAAATCGTTCTGGTCCAAATATGTTATGTTTGACAATCCATATCTTCAAGTTTGCAACCTCAGTGAATAGTGAATATTTGTGTCCATATATTTCCTCCATTAGTATATTGGTACCTTTTGAGGATGGTAGCATGTAGTATAGGGTGTATGATTACGTCACATGGTCCACCATGGATAAAGCCATTTAAGCGAAAAAGAAGTCTTTTATTCTTTTAAAATTTAAAAAATTAGCCTAGTATTCTTTCTCTAATTATTCCACTTATCTCTCATAACTATCTATCTTAAACCTTAATACACACTAGTTCAATTTCCCCCCTCATTCAGACTGGTTTGCAAACTGTAATCCGAGCACCACGACAGGTTTGTAGCAAATTGATTTTGATCTATGTCTCCTTGCCTTTATATTTGATTAGTTACGTCCTTATCATATTGGAGTTCTGGATTGTTGACATCACTATATATCATATTCATGTTTGTGCAGATAATTTTCATTTAGACTTGTTAATGTCACACTTTGCTAATTGCTAGTGACCTGTTAATTGAGTGTTTGTCTGTATTTTGCATAGTCTGATGCTTACTCATAGGTTTGGATTTGATGTTTTTTCTTTTTTATTTCTATGATAGATACAGATTCATGTCCGAGTAAACAGTGATCTATTAAGACCAAAGTGCTCCTTGCATATTCTGCTTTGATTTTCAAAATATGCTGTTTTCTTTGCTGAGTTGTGTGTTTATTCTGATTTCTTTTACACATGATATAATAAGGGTCTATTGTTCTTTCTTTATGTCAATTATGGTATTAGAATTAGTGTAGGAAGTATTGTGATGACTTAGACGATTGACAGGAAACACTAGAAAATTGGTTAAAATATTGCAGAAACTAGTATACCACTATAATTAGTTGCAACTCTTGAATTTTAATGGGTAGTTGAATTCTTCTACAGTTCTGGGGTGAGAAAATGGCAGATATCAATGGTGTCATAGAGAATTACTTCTTTGGTATTTGTGCAATTGACCAGATAAAATAAGGGTTGCAACAATGGAGTCTTTTTTTTTTTTGTCGAATCTCTGTTACCAGTATTTGGAGTTCCTCATTTTAGCGACAAATGTATGGGGAGCTTTAAATTAAATAACTGAAGTCTATAACTGAGCTCTCTATGGATTCACATGTCTTCTAAACATGCTCTTCACATGACAGTCTATTGTCTACTTGTCTGTGCAACCTTACACTTAGGAAATGCCGGAATTTTCAATTCTTCAAAGTTTATTGGAGTAATTGTCCAATTTCTTTTATCGTGAATCATAACAGAACAGAATCGGAAAAACATTGGAACCAAGTTGGTTTGTGTATTTCGTGGCGATGAAGAATCCTAGAGTCTCCTTAACTATGGTTGTCCAACATTCTGCTTTTTACTCTCTTTGAATGATCTATAGTAGGATTTATTATTATTATTTAAGTTGAATGCTACATCTTGTTTGATTATTAGGTTTGGATTTTTGTGGTATTTGGAGGGGCAAGTGTTAGGATTTGAATTAAAATTTAAGAGGAAAGTGAGTGAGTAGAGGGTGCACTTAGTCAGTATACCTAGACACCAACTCCATGATAAACTAGTGTTAAAACATACAACTAATGGTATTCTAACTGCTAAAGATGTTTACATTTACCTCAATTCAACGCCTTCAGCCAACTCTTAGGTAAAACTGATTTGAAAAAGTTTCATTCCTCCTTCTGATTCCTTCATTCTATGGAGACACATTTAGGATAAGATGTCCACAGATGATAACTTGAGCAAATGAGATTGCACCGTTGTATCGATCACTATACCTTGGCAACAATCACACTAAAACTGATGAGCACCATTTAGCCATCCCTTTGGTGGCTGAGAAATCAATGACACATTTGTATTTCTCTAGGCACCAACACTCTTTTCTCTCACATTTACATGAAGTGGGAGACCCTTATGTTCTTTATCATATATGAGTATTATAAAATTTTAGCAAGCTTTTGATTTTTTGTTGCTCTTCTTCTTATCCTTTCTTACTCTGCCCCAACTTTTCAAAAGATGTAGTTTGTTCACTATAGTAGTGATTACACACTATAGAAATTCCAAAATACCCTTTGTATCGTCTAGATTTCAAAATCTGGATGTGTCTATTATACAATAAAATCACTAAGGCATGCCCTTTTTTCCTTCCAAAAGTGGTATGGATTCCAATCTCCATATTAACCTTGCCTGCATATTTTTTGTTTCTTTACAATGGGGAGAATATAATTATAGATTTCAATCTTCGGATTAACCACATGATAATATTTTACACTTTTAGACAGTAAATTAGAAGAATTTTGACATTTTTTAATAAACCTTACATTGTAAGTTATTTATAAATCGGCCGCACAATAAATCATACACACTTGTCATTTAATAATATATCAAAATAGAAGAACTACATCGTATATTTGAATGTCAAAATGTCATTACCAATCCCTGTTTGAACTGCAACATAGTGGCAAGAAGCAAAAGTTAAATTAGAAGTATTTTAAATTTTATCGTATTCACAAGGATCGGTGCGAGGGAAAGAATGTCGTTAAATAGTCTCTATATTTTCGAGAATGGTTTGAATGATTTAAAATCGTAAAGTGTGGAAAGTAAAACATATGGCCAAGTAAATAATGCATTCTTTAGAGTGGAGAGAACTCGTTGGAATTGAATTTCATCTATCCATCAAATACTTAAATCTATCGATCAGTTGTACGCAATCTAAAACACTCGTCAATATCATCACATATCACCCACAACAGAGGTTATGTCTAACACAGAGTTGAGAGAACAACTATATTGTCTCATTGGCGATGTCTCACGCAACTAAACAACACAGAAACATTAAGAATCGATACCCGCCGTGAATATTAGACCTAAATCTATTTCTAGAGTTTATAACCTAATGGATATTCATCATAGTTTCATATTTGAAGAGTATATGTCTGTGATCGGTGGATCTGGAACTGACTGTTTAACGCTGGTTCGCGAAATGTCGCGGAAGCAAGAGTCGCCACCGTCTTTTATTTTCTCCAAATGGAAAGGACAAAAGCACAGAAAAATTCCTTAAAAGAGATTGCTCTCGGTTCGGGAGGTAGATTATAGAAAGGGAAGGTGTTAGCACCCTTTCTATCCATGGTTATCCATGGGCTCTTAGATACTTGCTCAATGTGTTTTCAAAATTGTTTGTTTGCTTTTCAATGTGAGTTTCAAAAATATTCTTTGAAAAGTTTCAGTTCAACTCGTACGTCAGAGTGTTTGAAAAGTTTGCTTTGAAAGCTTTTGAAAATGTGTTGGTGTGAAAAGATTTTGATTTGTTTGAAATTAGAGCAAGTATCCTTGAGAACCTACCTACCCTAAGGAATTCGTCTGTGTAAATGTCATTTAAAGTAGTGCCATTCCACCATTGAGGGGTAGGTAGCACCACTGTTGGAGGTGTTCGGGTCAATTCGAGTTTGTAGGGACATGGTGATCACCGGAGCAATGGGAAGACACCTTAGAAGCTACCCTCATGCCAGGTTCCCGGATCATGAGGACTTACTAAGACGTCCTCTACTCGACGATCACCTTTCGAAAGGCAACAGTGAGGCGTACCCTAGGGGTGGTGTGTGCGAATTGTGTGTCATGTTTCAATTATTTGTCTTGTCATGTTTGTTGTGTTCTACGCTTGATTTTAATTAGGGGCCATACATTCTTTCATGCATATTTATTAACAGTTATATATTTGCGAGAAAATAAATCTACACTATTACAAATGGCGCGGGTCCACATCGCCAAAATAATCCAGACCCGATTTAAAATAAATTGCAGAAAAGAAATGTCTAATAGCTATTACATGGCTTTGGTACAAGTACATTATATTCACAAAAGAAATAAATGAAACGCGCGAAAAAGAAAATAATCAAATGCGAGGGCGTTGAACCCTTTAAAGGAATTAAAATAATTAAGTTATCTAAAATTAAAATTAAATGAAAAATGGTATTTTTGTGTTTTTTAGATTTAATGAGGACAAAGAAAAATTAATTAAAATTAAAATGCTAAACCCTAGTTCTAATGTTTTTTAAGTTTATTATGAAAATATTGACTTTTAACCTAATTTAACTCTAAAACCTAAACTCTATTTTTTGGATTTTTATTAAAAGGATTAAAATTATACCCTAATTAAATTAAATAATTTACACTTTTATTTATTCATGAAAATAATCAAAATTAATTATATTTTTTGTCTTTTCTGTATTTTTAATGTTTTTATGTTTTTTTTTTATAAAATGAATTAATTAAATCAGAAAATAAAATAAACAAATAAATAATTAAAAATAATAAAAGATAAAGAAAATTGGAAAAGATAGAACCAGGGGGGGTTTTCTGTCCCATTATGGAGGTGTTGGCCCAAGAATATTGGCCCATTAAGTCTGGGATTTGTTGACTATTCCAAGCAGCGTGTGGCAAAGTTGACCTATGCCCATGGTGTGTTTCAATTCTCAGCCTTTGATTAGGACCTCTGGGACGCGTGTAGGCTTGATGATGAGAGGATATGGTGAGCCTGCATGTTATGTCTGCACGTAATGACTAAGAGAAAAATAATATGGAAATTTTCCAGACCTGGGACTCGAACCCAGGTCTTGTGCCTTGCAAACGCTTCCACCTGCCACTGAACCACTTTGATTTCAATTAATATATATTATCAAATAAACAATATAAAACAAAAGCGGATGAGAGCTGGGAAACGCGCGCGAGAATTCAAACGTGCCTATCACGTTTTGACACGGCATCTTCTTCCTCCCTGTCCCTGAAAACAAAACAAAATAGGCAACGGTTTCTGGGTGTTTCATTAGACAGCTTTTGAGAAAATAGCGATTAGGTCCCTGTAGCTCATAAATTTGTCGCGACCAATGCTTCCTCTTCGTCTAGATTTGCTGAGTATGATTATCATGGTCTGGAAGGCTGATTTTACAGCATGGTAAAAGCCCTAAAAGCAAAACCTGAAAACCCTAAAACGTGGCCATGGTAGATTCGCGTATGATTAACAAAA